GAGCTCTGACTAACTCAAGGGTGCTAACAGCCATTTCAGTGGGAATTCACGTGCTCTCTGTGGTGAACTGGTGTCACCAGTGCATTTTGAGGCACGGCTGGGAAGTTGGGCCAGTTAGAAAGCACAACTCAGCACGCAGCTCTTTATCAAACAAACTCAGCTGCAAACCCATGCACTCCTCTATTGCATAATGACCCCTGTACCTGGGGTATTCCCAAACCATCCCAGCCCATGCCTTCTCCTCCCTCCCCTTTCCAGGCTGGCTGAAAAAGCAATTAGCAAGAGCACAGAACACCCAGCACACACAGCCCTAAAAGCACAACATCACCACAGATAATAAATTCTGTTCCACAGCCTCTCCCATGAAGAGTGTTCAAGTGACGATTAACCAACAAGCCAAGTGCTCAGCTGCAATCTCAGCCCATTCTGAACAGCTTTTGCTCAAGGCACACTAGGGCAGAGGATTAAGAAGCCCCTCCCAAATGGATTAAAAACCCCTTTAAATGACCATCTCCCAGGTCATTATGACAATAAATATATATCTATATACACACATATATATTACATGTATAAAGAAAGGGGAAAAAAGCCCTCAGACAATCCCTCTCTAGAGGATTACTTCAACACTTTTGACTTCAGAGAGATTGAAACTGATTCTCCTAAGCAAGCAGCTTTAACCCAAATCAGAACTCACCTCTTCACCAATCAGAAAGAAGCTTTTTCAGAAACTTATACTTCATAATAGTTATATGGGCCTTAATCCTCTTGGAAACAGTTTTAAGTCATTATTCCAGGAGTTATTAGGTTGGAAAACAGCTTCTAGGCAAATGATGCTATTCACAAACCTTTTACACCAGAAATAATGGCTGGATTATTTCTGCCTCAAAAGTAGTCTTGAGGTCTGGTTTCTGATTTTCTTTATATCTGATGCTCCTGAGGACAAAAAAAAAAAAAAAAAAAAAAAAAGGAAACACAGCCCCGCTTGTACATTCCAATAATAATGGAAATTTTAAATATGTAGAACTAATTTTATAAGGATTATAAATGGCAGCAATGACAGCAAGTTGGAATTTTAAGCAGAAGTAAAAAATAAAAAAACTTTAAAATATAAAAAAATTAAAAAATAAAATTTTCTGGTTTCCAGTGCAGTACCTCTTACCCCAGAGTTTCCTTCTTGTCTTAAAAAAATACCACTATGTATCATATGAATTTTCAGTAAGAAGAGAATTCAGCCCCAAAGATGTTTTATTTCCAAAAGGCTTTCCTCAGCAGTTGCCTACTTCTCCATTTTATAATAAAGTCAAATGTACCAACACTAATAAGCACCAAAAAAACACCAAATAACCATCACCCTCCAAACACACAATGCCAAGTCCAAACCATATCAATTCATCTGTGCTGTACTGCAAACTTGGATGTCTTCAAGCAGATCAAATACTGACATTTCCATGGCAATTTTTGCCTGAATAACAACTTCAGGATTTACTCCATCACTTTTCCATGTAGCTGTATATGCATGTGAAGTACCCATAATCTTCCTTTTCTCAAAGAAAATAACTGAACTATTAACTTAAACACCTACCTGGTTAAAACCAGTTATTAGTAATTTTTCACCCATTAATTTTACCACAAAGATGAATTTCTATTCTGTGCTGAAAAGGGGGTCATAGTGGAAGATAGAACTCCAACAGCACAAAAAGAGCAGCAGCATCTCTGACTAAATTCTTCACTGGAGCAGTGATATCACTTGGCCAAAGGATTATGTGGCATCACTTTCTGAAGTGTATTAAAAATGTATTCACTTGCCTATATAACAAATTCATCATCATTGCTCAGGAGAAATCCCTAAACCTACAGCAAAGGCCTTCTGAGGTAAACTAAAGCTAAGGAGACATAAGGTAATTAAAATAAAAGAAAAGAAAAAGAATCGTTGCATTTGTTCTCCTTAGTTATATTATGAATAAAAACCCAAAACTAATGTAATAATGTATCCCAGCAGTTCAAATCTTCTAATTTATGTAGAATGGATTATTACTTAGACAATCTGACCCTGGGCAAAACTTCCTCAGTTGAGAAGATTTACAATCTAATTATGCAGGAAGTTCTGCTGAGACAGTTTGGGTGCAATGGCCTTCTATTGCATTAGCTTAGCTAAAATTGCTGCTCCTTCACTTGCTTGGGCTTCCAAGTGCTCAGATGAAAACAGAAAATCCTCCCTTCATGTCCTTCCTTTCCCTTTAGCCTTTCTCAGCATTTCTGCGTGCACAGGCACTGCTCTGCACTGCACACAGCACAGAGGGGCTGGGGCTGCAAAATGCAGCTCCAAGTTGCCTTTCAGGCTTTTGCTTTGGCCCCTGCTCAGTGAAATGACTTCAAAAAGGACCATCAAAGTGCTGCTCATAATTTTTACAATGATAGTTGCTGGGTTGTTTCTCCCCTCCCCTATTGCAAATGCCCCTGAAAAAAGCCTGGAGCTGAAGTCTGTTCCTGTACACTTGTTTCTTCATCCTGCACACACAAAACTAGTTTATTTTTGTAGGGTGGCTCTGAGATGTTTTGCTGCTGTCTCAGACACCTGAATATTTTTAGCAATCTATATCATTAGATTAAAAAAAAAAAAGTTCCTCGACGCATACAGAAATAGCAAGAGCTTTGCAAGCCTGCAGAGGAAATGATGGGAAATTTGGGGCTAGCAGAATTGGAAGTGTCTTTTCTCCTGTAGCTGTTTTACAGTGTATCCATACAGCTGAGCATACAGACACGTCCTCCATTAACACAGACAGAGAAATCAGTGCCTTTCCTTCTTTATAGGAAGTGTTTTGATTTCAAAAGGTCAGTGGATCATATCACAGCCTCTGACCTTGATGATTACCATGTGCAGTAATGCACATTTTTATCTACAGGTGGCAGACCTTTGAAAATAAGCTTCAAATTCGTTAGACATTTTTGTTGATACCACCGCCCACATTCAAAAGTAAGAATCTGCAGCATAAAGTTCTAATTAATGCTGTTCAATTTAGAGGACAGATTTGTCAACAAAGTGGCTCAATTCTCAAAGGCTAGTGACCCCTCTCAGAATGCGGCCTTAAAAAAAGAAAAATAATTTTAAAAAATTAGTTGCTCAGTACATAGCAAGCTTTTATTATTTTAAAATCATTCAGCAACTCAGCAAAAGATTTTTTTTCTGTATAATAGGAGTTTCACTTCCTTGATTATTAAGCACTGCCTGGCAAATTAGTGATTTCTTCTTTGATAAGCTTATTTAGAAGAGGAAAAGATGAGAATGTCACAACTGACTTCTGGCATTTAGAAAGATATAAGTGAATGGTACAACTTCTCCAGATCTGAATCAATCATGTTAAAATACCATGACTTAGGCTGTCATCTCAGATGTGTGTCTAAGGCCTCACCACCAAGCAGAAAAACATCGATTTACACCATAATATTATCAATCATTCACATAATACTGCATTCAAATTTAATTAGAATTTTTTTTTTCTTCTGAAAAACAACAGCAGCATAGCCCTGTGCATGTGGACAGAATCCTACTGAAATCAAGCAGGCTGTCTCTGGGTTTTAGCTCAGTCAGGCCTAAAGTCTCAGCTGCACAGCGTTTGCACAGCTTCTCCTCATTGCCACCCAGGAAAAGTGGATGTGTCACCTGTCACCAGGCTGCATTTCCAACCCTGATGTTTTAGGAACTGCCACTGATGGCACAGAAACAAGAGAGCAGCCTGGTCAGAGACAGGTGACACCCAACCCGTGGCAAACCCATCACACGCAGCAATGCCAACCTCAACTCCACAATGACAAGGGTAAAAACGAGGCCACCGAAGGGAAATGCTTGTCCTTGAAACCCTAAAAGCCTTTGAAGTTGTCTTTGAAACCCTCATTCTGCCAGCATTTACTCCTCATGGAAACCAGACTAAGCACAAAAGCTGCTTCAGGATTGTTGCCTCTGCAGCCCCTAAAATCAAGGGCCAAACAGGGTGAGGTGACAAAGTGCAGTTACATTTTGGATGAAGGATCCCTCCAGGTGCACAACACTCCAAAATACATGTGTCAAATACATGCCAAAAATGTGTCCAAAATGCCCTCATGACGTAGGGCAAGCACATTTTATAAGTTTAGCAAAGAAGCATAATTGACAAGAATCAGTTAGAAGGACAGGTAATGAAATAATTTCCCTTCTTGTACAACCCCCTCTGAAGCCCCCCTGCTTGCTGGCTATGTCTTATTACATCAGAAAGGTCTTGGGAAGGTGTCTTGTCCTTGATTACCACAAGAAGCAAGACTAGAACAGGCCCTCAGGAATGTGACTGTCTAATAGGAAAAGTGTTGAAGTAAGGAAACAGCAACAGTTTACAGAGCTAGGAATATATGTGAAAAATATAGAAAAGCAAATGGCATCAGGACCAACAAGACATAAGAACTGGTGGGGTTATCTGCAACTGAGTCTCCTCCCAGTCCAACAGCATTTTACCAGATTCCTCCCCACCCAGTCTCCCTAATGACAAGAAACACCAAATTTGTAAAAATTTAGTACTTGGATGTAGATATTTACACAGCAACACCACTGAAATATTGTAATATATCCACAAAAACAAAAAACCCAACAAAAACAAACAGAATCAACAAAACCAAAAAAAACCAACAAAACAAAACAACAATCCAACCCCAAAACTCTTCCATAGTTATCTTATTGAATGTTTTGAATAGATTGAACTGCAAAGTTGAATGAGTAACAGAAAGTACAGACAAATTACAATATTGACAGGGATCACACACACCCTGGAGAATGGTTATTTGCTGGCTGGCATGCCCACTGCTCCCCCTCCTCCCCAGCCCAAGAGTGGGTGAGCAAACTGAGCACACACTAATGTCTTTTGTGGTAACCTAGTAACCTTCTCCTTTTCCTCCCCAAGCTCTTCCTTCACACCACACTCTTCCTTACTGCCAGGATAATTGCACTGTGTCTTTACAAGGCTTTGTTTTCCTACCCAGTGCAGAGGAGCTGGGGTTATTTTCAGTCTTGACAGGATCAAACAGGAACCCGGTCATCAGCAAGAGGAAGGCTAGAAAAATAAAAGCAAATGCATATCAACAATTTTATTTTAAAAAGAAAATACATCCAAAACATGAAACAAAAGCCTGGGCTCTGCTAGACATCCCCCTCCCCACTCCTTTTTATTTAGTTCATGAACTCTTTTTTGCAGAACACAGGCTGGTGTAAATTAATGTGTGACCCATCATGTATCACGTGGGAAAGCTGCCTTAGAAATATGGAATGGCAAAAAGAAAAAAAAAGTAGACATTATTAGAACTAAAGAAGCACCTCTTATCATGATAAATCAATACTCAGACTGAACTAGGAGACAGCTGTGACTCCATATTCCTGTTTCTCTGGAGTGCTTGAGCAGCTCAAGTGCAGAGTGTCTGACATGCCTGCACAGCCAGCAGTGCCAGTGCTGGGAGCAAGGGCTCCTCTGCATCTGCTCCTGCTCTCAGCTGCCCCTCTGGGAGTAGCTGGGTCACTCACACACCTACTCCATCACCTACACACCGCCCTGAGGCTCCTGAGTTGCACCTGCACAGGGGACAGAGTGGCATCTCCCCCAGAACAGCCCAGGGCTTCAGAGACTCATCCTCATCAGGGACTGCCCAAAGGCCACTGCACCTCCACAGCTCAGGACCCCTCTGAGCAGCTCCCAGCTCTCTGGCCACTCCTGCAGCTGTGGTTGCAGTTTGGGGTTTGGGTCACCCCAAGCCTGCAGCAGGGAGGGGGAAATGCAGCACAAAGTGGCACAAGGGGTGCGCAGGTAGGATGCTTAACAAAAATAAGCATAAGTCTGAGTTTGTGACATGATACCCTGTGCTCACACAGGCCAAAGTTCATCTCAGATGGGGAGTGCTTGTCCTTCTAGCCAGGCTTGGCGTCCCTAAGTTTCATTACAGTGTATTATTACCAAGCTAGTCCAACCTAAACAATTTGTAGTATGAAAGAGATGCATGAATATCAATTTAATGATTGAATTTATTTTCTTTTTCAACTACAAAACACACACACAACCATGTAAATTTTACAATCAACATCCTTAATATATAAAACCAGGAGGTTTTTCCTACTGGTTTAACTTGACAGAACTACTTTTCCAGCCCTAGAGCTCAGAGAGCTCCAGGAAAAGCAGCAGCAGCATGCAAGGCCCACCAAGATTAGGCTGGCGCATGAAGGTTGAAAAGCCAACCATCCCTGGCTCCCTCCTGAGCTCTGCATGCAGGCAGACTTGGTGAAGACAAACCTCCATTTCCTATATTATTTTTAAGCAACCAGATGAACAAACAGAAATGTGTCCTCTGTATATTTGGTATAGAATTTTCCTCAGTCATGAATTTCTGCTCTTAGAAAGATAACTATCTCTAAAATCTGTGCTGAAGAAAGAGGGGGGAAAGTCATTTCTCAATTAAGTTATCAACATCTTCTCCTACAAAGATAAGTTTTGTGGGACCTATTAGACTACCTGTTCACCAGCATCACAGAGAACTGAAATAAAGCAATTTCTTAACTCTTATTACTTAGTTATCAAAATAGCCATTCATTAACTAAAGAGCATCATATAAAACCAGTTCTTTATCCTCCTTCCCTGACCCACACATTATCAATACAGCAGACAAGGACCACGAGCTGAGAAAAGAGCAAGCCCCACTCAATTCACCCCTAATTAGGATGAAACCCCAGGACAAAACAGGTCACAGGACAATCACAACAAGTAACACTCACTGGCAGAATATTCCCCATTATGTTTTTAGCCTTTCCCAGCAACCTGGAACCGAGTGCTACCCCTGACCTCCTCATGTCAGCAGAATACAAGGAAATAGTAACACTCATTTTGCTCATTCTCTTGTTTGCTGCCACCTGCTTTGACCAGTGATACTTGCTTGTCCTTGTCCTGTCTCCTCCCTTAACAAACTCTTTACAAAACTTAGGATTTTCCATGACCATAGGTATTTCTAGGTTTTTGACCACACATATTTCTCTGTACTTAGAAGTCACCTTCCACAATCTGGGCAGGCACAGGTACAAAAACTAAAAAAAACAAACACAGTAACATCAACAACCACCACCACCTGACTTTGAATCTCAGTTGTATTTGGGTTAGTTTACAACTAACTAACACAAAAAAACTTAAGAGGAAAAAAGGAAAAAAAGAGGAAAAAAAACCCAAAAAGCAGTAAAACCTACTGACTTTGCTCTTACAGCCCAGACACAGGAACAGGTTTGTGACCCCCAGTTTATTCCCATACAGAATTAAGCATTTTCTTCCTGGTAATTTTATCTACATACAACTTTCTAGCTGGTGTCAAGCAGCTTCAAAAGGGTTTCTTTATGACTGTTAGAAAAGACAAAGCAAAACTCAGGCTAACAACTACCCACAAGCTTTGAAGGGAATGAGATGATTTTTTTTTCAGGAGTAGAGCTGGAAATATCTGTATGGAAAAAGACCCTTTGAAAAAAGTCAGATTTACTTGGACTAAGCAAACTTTAGTTAATTAGTTGAAGTAAAAATAAAAATGTGTTTTTAAAGATAAAAACCCACCTAATTCAACTGTTTATTAACAATGCAATGAAGCAATCACCAAACATTAAGAGGGACTGCTGAAATTATGGTTCTTGGCTACAGCCTTGAGTGGAGAGACAGAACCAGTAAAAAAAGGGCCTGCTGCCATGTGAAATAACCTAGAGCCTGCTCTGCAATTAAACTCACTTTCATATTTACTGCAGTTTCCATAGGACAGACCTAAGAAAAATTCTGCTTTTAAACTATTTCTTTGACTCGCTCTCTATTTCCATAACTGGTCCTACAATATTTTTGTTTCTAGAGCAACATGGTTGGGAGTCATTATTTGGGAGGACTGGGAGTGCCCCATTCCAGAGGCAGGCAACAGCTCCATGTACAGGAATTAAAATAACCCTTTCCAAAAAAATCCTAATGGGAGAAAATCTTAGGTATAAAAATCCTGAACTGCAGCACACACCCTTACAAGACTTTTACAATATGAGAGAAAGTGATACATGACATAGAATATAATAGCTCCTAGAGTCAGCTTGATGTGTTGCATTATATTTATATTGTAAATATAAATTAATTATACCTGATTTGCATTATGTTTGCATTATATTTACATTTAAAGTACTTTTATTTAAATGTTGTCCAAATTTTAATAAGAGCGAAATCACAGCAACAGCCTTGCTTAGACCAAAATGCTGCCGCTGACCACAATTCCATCTCCACACAGCCCTGCCTGAAAAAGCTTCCACCGTCTGCAAGTTCCATTGTTCCTGTGCTGTTTTTTACTGAGGCCACCAGGAAGATGACACAGAGTGACAAACACTCTGGTGACTTTTCTCTGATGATGACATTAGCTTGGGTTATATTTTTAGGAAGCAAAGAGAGCAAAAGCCCCAAAATTACTCTAGCAATTACTCTGCTGGATATTTCTCAGGGATAAAAATAAAATTTAAAAAGCAAAGCCCCAGCCCAGCACACGTTTTGCACAGAAAATGCAGCATTTTCCAGCAACTGTGACTCACAGCTCACCACATTTCACCTGGTGGTTAAAACTCCACTCAGCTGTGCATTACAGAGAGTGAGAGAAACAGGGAAACATGAGGTTTTGTGCATCCACTTTCATTTTCACAACAACTCCTCAAGGCTTACAGCTGTTAGTTTTTAAATTTTCAACCCTTAAATCTGCCCATTAAAGCTTGAGATGAATTAGTCAGGTGTTATAGAGAAAACTCTGTTGCTGCAACTCCTGCAGGTGACATCTTCAGTATCTAGCAAATTCTTCTTCACTCTTAAAAAACAGAATGCATAAAAGAAAAAAGCATAAATGCTTTTGAAAACCTGCTGTCTTCAGAGAATCTCCCAATTTCAAACACTGATTTCTCATTTCACAAGCCAAAAATCCAATCCACATTATGGCCCTTCAGAAGAGTGGTTTTGACATGCCCTAGGAAGAGTCACAGGCTGGCTCTGGATGCTTTTCCCACTCCAAAGCAGTGAAAACTATTCTAAACAGAGTGGGCTTGAGGGTTGTTTTAGAGTTGAGGTTTTTTGGTTGTTGTTTTGTTATTTTCTCATTGTTATTTAGTTATATTTTTTGTTTTGTTGGTTTTGGTTGTTTATTTTGTTATTTTATTTGTTTCAAATAATTTTTGTTCTAGAAAAAAACCAGGTGGCTTGTGCAAGACTACCTCCTCAGTACCTACCTGTTCCTGTAAGAGCAAAGTCAGTAGGTTTTATTGCTTTTGGGGGTTTTTTCCCCTCTTTTTCCTTTTTTTTCTCTCCAGTTTTTTTTTTTTTTAATCTATTTGCCAAGCAGAGTCATTTATCCCCTATTAGATAAAGTATAATAGACTGTACCAAAAGGGTCACTGGCCTTCCATTTAATGATATTGCCAGCACCAATCTCCATTTTCCCGACAGTGTCCCTCAACACAGAATAAATGGCTGATCTCTTCACAATAACAGCTGATTTCTCTTTATTAAGCTAAAAAGGTCACCATTTTCTACGGCTGGGCCGCCCTGCACTATTGATAATTTTATGCATAAACAAATGGCAAATTTGTGCCACATAAATATGCATTAGCAATTACTTTTTCCTCGGGCAACGCTCGCCGCATGCAAATGTGTCCCTCACAGGGCCTGGTGGCTTTTGTTTTAGCTCTTGAACAGCCAAACAAAAGAGCACAATAAACAGTTTAAAAATTGCCAATCAATAGGAAATGCAAATGCAAAGGTAAATGGCAGGAAACTTGCCCAAACAAATAAAACTAAATTAAAAAAAAAAAAGAAAAAGCCAAACAAAAATCATGCAAGGAAATACAGAAATAAATGGAAAGGAGTCTCTTTTCTCCCCACTATTTATCTACAACTCTGTTTTATTTCTTTTTGATAGAGACATGGCTGAGGTACTCTTTGCACTGGACCCACATGGAAGCACCTAAAATGTCCACATGGGCTGGGGATGTTT